ACCGCGAGAAAAAAGAGTTCGGCGCAATTACAAAAAGCCATACGTTGCACACACTATGAATCTATCCGTGGCCCGCCACATAATCTATCTAAAAGCTAAAGAGGCCTACACATACAGATCATTTGGTCACGGACCATGGCAACCAGTTATCAAAAACAATGTATGTCTTTCCCAAGTGATATCATACCTCACGCTAAAATGGCCATGCATTTGAAAGGCTGTTGCAGAGGATAGTTTTCCTGAATGGTCTAAACGACGAAAAAGCAAGAGAAGATGGGGACAAAGCTTGTGAAGAAGCAGAACTGTCTCAACCCTCGCCAGGCCGGCCACCGAACGAAGAGATCCAAGATCGCCATGGCCCGATAGCCCAGCAGATGGTATTTTCCGAAGATGGCATTGGTCCTACAGCTTCAACTTCGGTCAGCCAGTCCTCAGAGAACCCCTAGCCGAATTACATTCCGTCATCTCAAACAACCGGAATTTAACGCCCCGAAGCTCATTCTTGCGTCTCTAACTCGCGTTCCTTCTCGGAGGCTACCGTGCCTGGGCCACAGACTACTTCATCGGCAGCTTCCATTCGTGTTAACTTCATGGCAGAAGGACAGGTTGAAATGCGCAATCGTGTGGAAATGTTGCATCCTCTGCAGGCGCAAGACCTGCCATGCAGCAAGCGAGGCGTCATCATGATTGGGTCAGCCGCAAGAAACGGTATGCTCGTCTGGAGAAGGAGTTGAAGCGACTGTCACGCATAGAGCAGTTATATGAGTAATTGGACAGGACGAGGGCCCAGGTGAGGTAGAAGAGAGTGACTTCGAAAGTAACTTTCGGTCATGAGCGGGCAACGTGGTGGCCGAGCACTGCTCGATTGCACCATCAATCCATATCCGAGCCCTCAAGCAAATCAAGCTCGCTCCTCCAAGTGTTGGGTGCGCTTCAAATACTTCTGAGGGTACAACTGTTCAGCCCCGATTTGGTCAAGCAGGTCACAAGTACGGTAAACCTCAGAAATGTGATCTTGTGGGCTCCTATCCAAACATACACCCTTACCACCCAATTTTACTGTCCAAGTTTCTCATTCACATTGTATGGTATGGCGTCGAAAATGATAACCTGTGTATTTGATTGAGCCACCATGAAAGTTAACGACCTTTGATCGGTTATCATCAGACCAAGATGTGAACAAAAGTCATCATTGCCGTCATTAGTAGAGCCAAAAAGAGAGTGCCCCAGCAGTAGCTGCCGACCGGACCCTGATCAGCCCTGATCTCGGAAGAGAGGTCTTTGGACTTGGAGTAGAGAAGGTAAAGAACAATTGTTGGAAGGAGGTAAGAGACGCAACAAAAGAGCCCAATAAACAATCTGGGCATTAATGGCAACGTCAGATCTTGCAATAGAGTACCAGCGCCGAAGGGCCAGCTGAATATAGAGTTGAGAAAGACGACAGCGATCACCAGGGTCGTCGCTATGCCGATAATGAAAGGATCCCGGATCCATCCAGGGGTAGCTTTTGAGAAGATGCTGCGCAGGTGATCCAAATCCTCCTTTTGGTTGCTCAGAATATTTGTAACAGCCTGGGGTACCATCCTAGATATGTTCACAGGCAATTGATGACATTCGACACGGTCGCTGAACCCCACGCAGTATTGGTTTGTGCCGATGGAGAGATTCCTGGGGATCGCCGTGCTGGCGCCATTGACGGCTGTCGCGGCGGCGCTTGCGATGCTGTTAACTTGGCCGGGAGCTCTTGAGGCTTCAGTTGCCACATTGCTTACGACGCTCCCGGCTTCGGGCACGGCCGTCCGGATTAGGCCCCTTGCACGAAGCGGTACATGTGCGGTGGCGGCCTTAAACTGTGGAAGAATACATCAGCGATCTACCTCAGCCAACATATTAACAGTGAAACTCACTCACAGTGAAGGTAACGATACCCGCCTCCATGGCGTCCTTAGTGCAAAGCACTTCAAAGCTCAAAACCGTGCAGCAGATTAATGCGGCCACGAATGCGAGTGACACACCTATTTTGAGCCAAAGCTTTTCTCTGAGCATGGTGGTGTAAGTACGAATAATTGTAACAGGTGGGACGATGAACAATTTACCACTGGTGGGCTGCCCATATCATTTAATGAAGCTATGTACCACCCTGTCGAGCTCTGCAGTACTCTTAAGTGACAACGCTATTCACCATTCGGACCCAGAAGGGGTGCCTCATTCCGTTGAGCTCAGCACCATTTCTGGATTGGGCCCCAAGGGCCAAAATAGGCCCGGGGGGGGGGGGGGGGTGGAGGCGTGCGATTTGCTGCACATACCGGCTCTGGCCACTTCGTAGTTCAGATCGAACGTCGTTTCTCGTCTCTTAGGATTGACCACCACCCTTGCCTCAATTTTGTTCAAAACCTCACATACCTTCCTTAAACAGATTGTACCGTTTGCTCTGGTCTTCTCTTTAGCCATTCGTGTGGTCAAGATGTCATCGAACTCTTTAAACCGCCGGACACGCATCGACTTTGATGCCATCAGAGGGTTTAGGGGGCCTTCTCAGAGCGTGACCCGCCAGGAAGATCACCATACGGATAGTGAAACTCCCAGTCGCCATGGCACTGGATTTAATTCAGCAGCAGGACTCCCGAGAGCCCTCTCGTCCGGAATCTATCGTACCACCTCAGCATCTGGTTCGAAGCCCCTGAGCCCCCCAGTAGCACTCGGACATGGGACGGAGAATACCCTGATTGTAAAGCACCAATCCCCGTGGGAAAAGTACAGAAAAAGCCATTGCATACGGCTTGGCGAGGAAGACGACGACATGGTGGACGTGGCCGAGGTCAGACACCCGTGGTCCGATGACATTATCATCCCTCCTAAAAGGGAGGGTACCACGCCGTACGTCGTCTCTGTGAAGAGCTTCTCTATTCACAACGGCGAAATAAAATGTCGTATGTTGCAACAGCTTGAACATGAGAATATCGTGTCCGTGAGAGACATATTTCTCTATGACGAATCATTCTACGTTGTCTTCGAACACATGCCGATGTCCCTGAGCCTTTTCACCGGCTTTCCGAAACACCTCGACGAGGATCAACTGACATCGATATTAGGGCAGGGAGGTTCTGTGTATCAACTCTCCCGAGTGAACCGACTAACTGTGGCAGATCCTCAACGGACTTGTGTATCTTGCGACAAAAGGACTGGAACATGGCTCCCTGACCACCTCGACCACTCTCATAAACGTTGCTGGTGAGGTGAAGATAGGGAGGTAAGCCCTACTTGATTGTCTACGTGAAGCTGACCTGAGATCACAGCTAACCAGGAGCTTTGTCGACCTTGCCGTCAGGGCAGTCCGGGGTCAAGAGATATTCGGGCGCTGGGCTTCATCACGATGGAGCTGATGCAGAAATACGCCAAAGTTGATGGTACCGTCGGAGTAGACGACCTCAGCCGGTGGCCTTCCGATTCTCTGGCGGCCAGATTCCTCTCTGAGACGACGTCTGCCACTTCGGCAGAGAGGCTCTTGAAGGTAAGTGAGGAACATCAGTTTTCCAGGGGGTGTAATCCTGACCTAGTTAGAGTCCATTGTTCCGCCGGCCCTGGGGAAAGAGAAATCTCCAGGGACTGGCAGATATTACCTCGATTGCCCCATTTAGGGGCTACAGATTGCCACCCAGTTAGACGAGGATGAATTTGTCGCGGAGAGGATCCTATTCTGGCTCCAATGCGGCTTCTATATGCCAAAGTTGGCCGCGATTGCTCAGTGTCTGGATCCAGTCCCAGCTCCCTTTCTAAGGGTTGAGTCTAAACGTGTACTTGATTATATTTCAGATTCACCCTCTTTCCGTGTTTCAATAGGCTCCTCAACCCTCGTAGCCACTCCTTTTCCCTTCGTGCATGGTTGTTATCCTGCTTCATTTTCTGACCTTCGATATGGATATTACTCAAGCCTATGCGATTGGCGTGGGCGGCTTGGTGCTACTCCTTATTCTCCTGAACTTCCGCCAGTTGGTTGTGCTCGGTTGGAAGAAGGTCGCTCCACTCACGCTGAAGTATTTCGTGTATCCACGGCTTCGTCACCGGTTAACTGGTGTGTGGGACCCGGCCGGTGTCATTGCCGGACTTCTCTACAGCGGCGTCAACATCTTCTGTGTCTGCTTCAACGTGGGCTCTGTCTCCATGGCCGGTCTTCGAGCGGCAAATCTCTCCCTCATTAACCTGATCCCCCTCATGGCGGGCCCTCATCTTAGCTTCCCAGCTGATCTCATGGGCATCACCTTACGCACGTACCGGCGAGTTCATCGCTCCTTAGGACTAATGTCGTCGGTCCTGTTGGGCTTCCACGTTATCGCTGTTCTCATGGAGAAGGAAGCATTTCCTCTGAGTATCTCAGAAAACCTCTTTGGATTGATTGTACGTTTCCTAGAGTTAATTACACCCGCTCAACAGAACTGACAGAGTTCAGGGGACAATAGCGTGGGGGCTCCTCGTGCCTCTCTCACACCCGTTTCTGCGGCGTCATTTTTACGAGTTCTTCCTTCGCTTGCATCAGATATTGGCTGTTACTGCGACATACAGCATATGGAGCCACTTAAGGAAGATCCATTCTCTTCCACAAAAGTATACTTACATTACGATGGGTACATTCTTGCTGACCATTCTAGTCCAAGGCGGGCTCATCATGTACCAAACCGGAGTGGTCGGGAATGGGTTCGCCAGAGTCAAGGTCACCAATATCAAAGAGATGCTCAGCAGAGAGCACGTCATCATAGAGCAAGAAGTGATGACGCTCCAAGTACGCCTCACCTCACCACTCCAGGTAAAGCCGGGACAATACATCTGCTTGTGGATTCCACGGTTCGGCCGCCTGCAGAGCCATCCTTTCATGATAACTTCTTGGTCGGACGAAAGTCTGGAGTCCCTGGACGTTTTTATAGAACCACGTGACGGCCTGACTAGAAAGCTTTTGCGATATTCGGACTCGAGCCGTGAGGGCGGCACTTTATACAGAGCTTTGTTCAGTGGACCCCATGGTACCACTGTCCCAGCTGGAACCTATGAGACGGTGCTAATGATGGCGGATGGCTTTGGTATCGTCTCGCACCTTCCTTACCTGAAGCAGCTCATTCATGGGTATAATGCCTGCAAGATTCGCACTCGTCGAATCCATTTGGTGTGGCAGTTAGAGACCAAAGGTACGGCCATCAGATACCCCTTCTCTAAATGCATAACACTCAACTACATTAGATCTGGGGTATGCCGCAGCAGACCTGTTGAATGATGCGCTCGTCGGGGATACACTTAGTGTCGATAACACCACCGGCGATACGAGCGACGAGAAGTCAACCAAGGGGAAGGTAAGCTACAATAACCTATACCATGAAAATTCAGCCTGACTTGGAGTATAGATCCTCAGCATTTCGGTCTACATCCACTGGGCAAGCCAGGATAGAGTGCCATTCGGAAAACGCGCGATCGCGTACAGTGGTCTGGCAGATTTGGAAACCATTATCCAGGAAGAGGTGGCAGGTAGACATATCAAAAGGGTACAGGAGGAATCGGGCGAGAAAGGAGAGACGTTGGTGATGGGTAAGCCCACTTGGCTGACTTCAGATCCCTGCTGATTAATCCAGTGTCTGGAAGCAATGACCTTCGAGATCGGTTGCGAAGTCTAGTCCGCCCAATGGCAGATAAGAAAGTTAGGCTGGAGGAACTAGAATATCAGCCCGGGGACTAGACGGTTAACCACATCTGATGGGAAGGCTCTCGCTCATCCATAGGCGGGCATGTCCTTCGTCGGCCAACTGTCCCTACGCCGTCGGCCAGATCATTCCTCGCAATTTTCTTTCCTCGAAGCTATACGGGAAGTAAACAGGAATAGCGTATTCGGTATTAATCAGGCTTACTTAGTGGTGACATGTCGAAAATGGAAGATGAAACAAGGAAAAATGCAGGACATTCGTTTTTTATATACTCAAGACCGGCTTTTTTTGCTGGCAGGAGAATTAGGATGGAGATGGGTGTCGATAATTCCACCTCGATGGATATACAAGGTGTCATTTCCCCCTCTGATAATGTCTTCAAATTTTGTCAATGGGGTTATCATGTGGGACCCGGCGAACACATTCCACGGGTTTTCGGCGTCTTTTCTAGTGTATTTCCTTAAGAATCGCATGAAATCTGCCGGCTCGAAAGGGTCCACGTCGTGTGAGGGCAGATCTTGCCATTCCCCACCACTAGGCCCCCTAGATATTTTGAGATGTATACGAATCTTTTGAGGGTTGGGTTGTTCCGCGGTCAGGTTAGTGGGTTGTTGACCTGTCGTCCTGATGACGTCAGAATCAAGCACCACTGCTCCGCGTACGGTTTCGTTTTCCATGATTGGACGCTGACCGGTGTTCTCTTTGGGCATAGGTTGTCCTTCAAGCATCCTCCAGTCGATCTGTGTGGTGCGTTTTCGACGCATTCCTTCGTCTTCCTTTACACTTCTCTCTTGCTCGTCCCTTCCCTGCGTTCTGGTCTTCTTTTGCTCCCCACTCACTTCAGATTTCTCTTTCTTGAGTTGTCTTGCTCTCTCTTGCCTTGCAAGTCTTTCCCGTCTCTGATCTTCCTTCTTCGCTGCGTTTTTCCGTCGCTCTCTCGCCGTCCGCTCTTCATTTTCTTGCTCTTTTGGTCGATTATCCATATTCTTTTCAATGTTCTCTAGTCTTGCTTGGTCGCCTTCGTCAGGGAGCCGCCCATTTGGCGCATTCCAATCGCTTCTTAGCTCTTCCTGCACTTCTTGAACATCCCCAATCTCTAGAGCAACCGGTTCCTCCCTGTCACGACCTCCATCCTGAGGGTATCCAGCAGGCAAAATTTCCTGCGCTCGTTCTGGGCTTTCCAATCTGCCAAAGTCGATCTGGGTGACGCACTTCAGGTACGACTC